CGAGCCGGAGGGCGGCCGGGCGTCGGGGCCCGGGGCCCGGCAGGGTGGCCCGCGCGGCGGGAAGCCGCACCGCTGTGAGGCCTGCGGCAAGAGCTTCAGGTACAAGTCGCTCCTGCTCAAGCACCAGCGCATCCACACGGGCGAGAAGCCGTACGCGTGCCACGAGTGCGGGAAGCGCTTCCGCGGCTGGTCGGGCTTCATCCAGCACCACCGCATCCACACGGGCGAGAAGCCGTACGAGTGCGCCCAGTGCGGCCGCGCCTTCAGCCACAGCTCGCACTTCACGCAGCACCTGCGCGTCCACAACGGCGAGAAGCCGTACGCGTGCGGCGAGTGCGGCCAGGCCTTCAGCCAGAGCTCCAACCTGGTGCGGCACCAGCGGCTGCACACGGGCGAGAAGCCGTACGCCTGCAGCCAGTGCGGCAAGGCCTTCATCTGGAGCTCCGTGCTCATCGAGCATCAGCGCATCCACACCGGCGAGAAGCCCTACGAGTGCGGCGAGTGCGGCAAGGCCTTCCGCGGCCGCTCGCACTTCTTCCGCCACCTGCGGACCCACACGGGCGAGAAGCCCTTCGCCTGCGGCGCGTGCGGCAAGGCCTTCGGCCAGAGCTCCCAGCTCATCCAGCACCAGAGGGTCCACTACCGGGAGTAGCGGGCGGGAGGGACCAGGAGGAGGTTCCGGGGAGAGGGCTCCTGCCGCCCCCTCTTCCTGATCCGCGCAGCGAGCCCCGCACGCCCAGTGGCCCAAATAAATTCTTTTTAACGGATGGACATGGGCGTCGCTCCTGCCTGTCTCTGGAGAGGCGTGGCTGGCGTTTGGTCTCGGGGGACCACTGCCGCGGGCCTGACGCCTGGAGGCCTCCTCACTGAGCCTGGAGCCACAGCTGCGTGTTTCCAGGCGTCGGGAGCCCAAGCGGCACAGGTGAGGTCGGGGGGCGGCTGGCCGAGGCAAGGTGCCTCCTGTCCGTCACCCTGAGCCGTATGTGGAGTGGCCCAGGCTTCGCAGCTGCCTCCAGCCCCGGGAAGAGGGGGGCCCAGGATGTTCGCCCCCTGACAGGCCTAGAGCTCTGCGGCTGTGGCCAGGCCTTGGCTTTGGCCTTCTCAGACCTGTCCTGTAGCTCGCAGACTTCCAGCCCGAGGTACAGGAAAGAGCTCAGGCTGGGTGGGGAAGCAGGCGCCTTTCCTGTCCCACCTGCTCCCTCCAGAACACTTCGGGACCCCACCCCCACCCCACATTGAGGAGCTGCCCGGCCCCTCCCTTGGCTGCAGCTCCGAGCCTCCCTTCCCCAGTTCCAAGCCCGACGGCATGTAGCTGGGCGGCTTCACCTCTCCGGGCCACACTCCCAGGGCCCCGTGGCCACCAAGCACTTTGGACTCCCTCGCCATGCGCCCCCCCGCCCTCGGGGAGAGCAGCTGTAGGGGAGAGGAGTAGAAGTCAGGCAGTCTCTGGACATCAGCTTCGGGGCTCAGGGCACCTCCTTAGTCGCCTCTGCTGGTGCGCTGTGGCCTGAAAGAGGAGGGAAAGCCGCCTTCTCCCAACTCTTGTCTCCCCCTAACACCGCGGGGGTAATGTGGGGCCTCGGCGCTCCAGCAGCCTGCACGCACAGCCCCCGGGGCTTCACGGGGAGCGGGGCGGCAGCTGTGCGCTGGAGGGTCATCCTGCCACCTCTGCGTGGAGGCTGCACTCGGATGCCAGCACCGAGGCCGGACCTGGCAGGCGGCCACCAAGAGCAGAGCCTGGAGGTCCTCCACACCGCCCCAGGCTGTCCCACAGACCCCTGTGCCCCACGTACGTGTCTACAAGGACTGGGTGGGGTGGGGCGGGGCCTGCACTGGTCCGACCGGGCCTTTTTGTTCTGTTCAGCCCTTCAACTGACTGAAGGAGAGGGCGGCCCGTTTCACTCAGTCTGCTAATTGAAATGTTCATCTCATCCAGAAACGGCTGCACAGACAAACCCAGAATAATGTTTGACCAAATAGCTAAGCACCCCATGGCTTAGTCAAGTTGACACATACAATTCACCACCAGGATACGAATTGTACTGCCATCGGGTTGGCCTAATTCCTCCTGCTACAGATGTGCTCTCACACACACAGCACCAGCAGAGCACAGGCCAGAGTCGGAGGTTAACAAGTAGGAGTTCCGAACCCACGCGGCCTACCATCTGGAAAACAATTACACCCTTTCCCATGATAATTTATTACGTTTGTGCATTCCTGTCTCATCCACTCAGTAAACCTTTTTTTTTTTTTTTTTTTTAGATTTT